TTTAAACCTATATATATATATATATATATATATATCTTAGAATATAATTTTTAATTTTTAAAATATATTATTTTTTAGGTAAAAAAGTTTGTATGTGTAAATGGTTTGCTTTCGATTTTTGAACCACACTAGTGCACTATGTTGGTTGGCGTTCTGGAACGGCCCGTTCTGAATCCAAAACGACCCGTTTTGGAAACCAGAACGACCCATTCTGGTTTCAAAACGACCCGTTCTGCTGCACGCGTTGGTGTTAAATAATACATCTGAAACGGGTCGTTCTAGATGCAAAATTTACACACCATGAGTGCGACCGGAACGAGCCGTTTCGGTTTCAGAACGGGCCGTTCTGGTTCCAGATGCATGACAAAATTTGACATCTACATGGCATCCACGTGGCATCTACATCACGTGGCATCCACAAGTCCGACATTGCAATCAATTAATTTATTAGGGACCAAATTGAGACCAAAAATAAAATTGAGACTAAATTAAAACAAACGATTATTATAAGGGACTAAAATAGGTTTTTAGTCTCGTATAAATAAGAGGGAAAAAGATCATCATAACACATGAAATATTTAATTTAAATTTAAATTGATAATAACATGTTGAGAAATTCTATGGTACCCATGTTATTTGAGAGGGTACCGGTACAGTTGTAATTACAATTTTATTTTATATTTTATATTTTTAATAATTTATTTAAATAATATTTATGATATTTTATTCTTTTAAATTTTAAATTATTTAGTTATTTTATTTTTATGTTATATATTCTAATTTTATTTATAATAATATTATTATATATTTAAATAGTTTAATTTTAATAATTTTTTTATGTATTTTTTGTCTTTTCACTTAAAATTTTTAAATTTCTATAATAATTTTTTAAGTATATTTTTGTCTTTTTATCTTAAATTTTTGAATTTCTATATTATAATTTTAATAATTTTTTATTTCTATTATTTATTAATTTTTTTCTTTTTAATGTTTTATAACATGAAATCTTATAATTTTAATTTCTTTAATTTTATTTTACTTTTGATTTTATAAATATAATTTAGATTATTTATTTTATAATTAAATTAATTCTTTTAAATTTTTTATAAATTTATATATTAAAAATATATTAAAATTTTTTACTGTAACAATTTCCTAACATATTTATAAGCATATTAAAAAAGGTTGCGTGTCCTGCTCGTTCACATCGAATGTCACTTGCAATCTCGCGGTTGCGATAAGTGATACGTGAAGAACAAGAATGAAAGGTTGTACACTTGTACGTACTGCTCGTTCACGTTCGTCACCTTTCAATTCATGATTTGATAATATTATATTATTAGTAGTCATTAGATATTTAGGTTTAGTGGCTGAACAAACTTTGATTTGGGTTTAGGTTATGGATTATAGTTTTATTAGGCCCAAAACGTAAAAATGAGACTTAATAATAATGGCTCATAATATATACCTTATTTATTTATTTATTTATAAGTACACTTTCTTTATTTTTTAACAAATATAAAATATTTGTATTTTTTTTTAATTTTATATTTTTAACTTTTGATTTGCTATGTTTTTTTACATATTTTTTCTAGTTTTTATATGCACTATTTCGTCTACCTCTAAATTTTTATCTATTATCGAGAAAGTCACACACCTATAATATTATTAAAAATACTTTTACGTTTTACATATGTGTAAAAACTAAAAGTGAGAGGAGAGGAAATAAAAGTAAGAAAATTGAAAGAGAATCGGAGAAAGTAATATAAAACTAAAAAAATTAAAATTATTTATCAAAATAAGTGAGGTGAAAAAAAGATAAGGAAATGCATGTAAAAATTAAAAAGAATGAGAGAAAATGTATAAAAAAAGTACTAAATTAAATATTATGAATATAAAATTAAAAAATTAAAAATTAAAAAAATATTTTAAAATTTTAATTATTTTTTTAAAACAAGAGGGGTACGTATAAAAAAAAGGGAGGTGTATATAACATCAACCAATAATAATAGGTATAGGCCCAAATAAAAAGTTAAAATCCTGAACAAAACCTAAAAGTCTGAACTTGAAAGCTAAAAGGGAGAGACGCAGAAATGGCCGCTCCTACTACTCTACCATGCTTGAGTTTAGACGATTGTGCATTCGGACGAGTAGGCACTTAGAGGTAAGATCACGTGATTCTGTCAACCTTGCTCAATATGTTCAGACGCTGGCGCAACCCTTTGAAAGAAAAGTGAAGATATTATTTTAGTCAACGAAAGAAAAGACGAGGATCACTTGTTTTATATACTTTTTTTCCTGGTTTCTTTTGTTGTATTCTCTTGGATGTTAGTTTTCTTGGGACTTACACCTTCATATCTTTGCTTTTTTCCTCTCTTCATCACTTTCAGTTTATTGCTCACCATTTGGAGTTGTGAAAAGGGAAGACAGATCTCAACTTACATTCCTAGAACAGATCAGACCAGGTTTGTTCCTTTGTTTATAGCTCATGAATCTATATATATCAAGAAATTTCACTCATATAAAGATAAATATGGATATCTATTATGAAGTGCATCTTTCAAGACAGACAGACAATAGGAGTAGTTGCTTGGTGAATGAATTGAAGATTAAGAGCTTTCCTCTGTTTTGGTTTGTTTCACTCTCTAGGTAAGATCTAATCACTTACTTGCGCTCTTTTCATGGATCCATTGCTAAGTAAATATATTTCTAAGCTGCCTATCTCGCATCAGCTTCAAATCGAGGAGAATATTCAGAAAAGGGAAAGAAAATGTGAGGTGAAGACAAAGGAGATAAGAAATTGAAAAATGGAGTACTAACTCTGGTGAAGAATAAGAGCTTTCCTCATTCTTATTCTTAGTTTGTGTCACACAAGGTAAGATTCTAAATATTCTTGCAAGAATTTTTTTTCTCCTTCATGTTCTGCTCTATTTTTGTTTTATTAATTAAATTTAGGGGATGTATTGATTTAGAATTTTAAAAGATTTTTTTTAGTAAAAAAATTTGTTGATATTCAATCAGGATTTTATGTCACTTAAAAACAATATACTGGTATTCAATTTGGATTTTTAAGATTTTTAAAATAGTCCATTAAAATCTATTGATATTTATTTAAGATTTTTTATAGCTTAAAAATAATTCATTAGTATTAAAAAATATAAGAATTTTAAAATATTGTAATATTAGAGAGATTTTGAAAGACTTTCTAGTGTTATTTATAAATACCAAATTTATAAAACAATTTCATCCAAACCATCAAATTTTGGAAGATTGTTTAAAGTGACTTTAAGTGCTTCAAGAATTGTTAATAATACTGCACTACTGTTTAGTGCTCATATATAATGTAGCATTGTTCGCATTTCATTCCCCTATTTTGTGAAACTCTGATATGTAAATGACAGTATCGTTGACTTCTCTATTTTTCTCTTCATTCTCTTTAATTGACTTGTTCTATTTTATTTTATTTAGTTGAATTTATTCCTTTATATAAAACAAAAAAAATGCTTGAAATTTTAATTTTTAAGTGATTCTTTTATAACACACACCAAGAAAGGTGAAAGGTGAAAGGTGAAAGGTGAAATTGATATATAAGGATTAAGGATATATAAACATAAATTTTTATATTAAAAAAATTATAAGATAAAATTAAATTATACATAAATTAATTTTTTTTTTGGTAAAGTACATAAATTAATTTGTTAAAGTTGAAATCTTTTTTAGTTTATTTAAAAATGTATTTTTAATTTACACATAAATTAGTTTTAGATAAGTTATAAAAATTTATTTATTTTTATTTTCTTTTCATATAAGTACTTATAAAAGAAATTTATATAAATTAACTTAGAAGTTATAATTGTTCCAGTGAAAAATTCACCTTTTCTAACAAATTCATCATTTAACTCCTACTTTTAAAATAGGAGGTTATTGTATTATGTTTATAGTTTAGCTTTCTCTTGTAAGAAAAAGAAAAATATTATCAAACTTGAAATTTCATGGTCACCGACAAAATCAAGTACTAGAGAAATTCTTTCTTCATTGATTGTTTTCAAAAATCCGAAAGAAATTTTTTTAAAGTTTGATTATATAAATTTCTTTTATAACAAATGTTTATATTAATAGTTTAAATGAAAGTTCTTTACATTTTTAATTTCGGACTAGAAACTCAGGATCAATTAAAATTTGAATATGATAAATTATGGAATTCTTATAATTTATAAAAAAGGTTTTTTTATTTTTTATTTTTTATTTTTTATAATTCAATTAAATGTGAAATCTATAATTATACTTTTTATTACTATTAAAGATATTTTTTCTTTAATTTTTTTTTGGTCTATTAGATATAACTAACGATTATTTCTTGACTTAGTTATAAATAAGGATATGACAACAAAAAAAACTAATTATAAGTATGATATAATAACAAAGTACTTTAAGGCCTCCCAAACATGATCCTACCATACATTTAACGATAGAATTACCATTTTAATCCTTAAAAATATCATATATTAAATTTCAGGTATTAATAATTTCTGTGATCTTATTTTTGTAATTTTAACAACTAAAATAATTTTTATTTAATAATATATAAGAACAAATAATGTTTGTTTAGTAAATTTTAAGCATTGAAATGACATTTTTTTATTTCAAGGACTAAATACACTGATATTTGTAATTCAAGGATTAATTTTTGATTCATTAATTCAAGGATTAATTTTTTATTCATTAATTCAAGAATTAATTTAATTATCGTATATTTTATTGCTTGATGAAACATAAAAAATAACATTAAACAAATTTTGCATGCAAAATAAAGTTGATGAATTATCCAAATAATGATACGCAAATCACATAGTTGTAATTGGTACCGATTTAATTTGGTTTAAATATTTTAAACAATGGAAAATTTTCTCACTGATTCTTGTCACTACCATTATCTTCATTAATTTATAACTCTTCATTTATTTAGTCAATTCTCCTTTGTCATAAAATAAAATAGGTTGAGTGGGATGAACAAATTAGAATGACTTGACAAAAACATTTATATTTAATTCACAATATTGAACTGAATTACTCTCTCTTTTTTCTTTTTTCTACTTCTCTCCTTTCTCTGTGTCCTTTTTCTTCTTTTCTCTATTTTCCTCCCCCTTTCCAATCGGTTTTTTCTCCTTATTTCTCTTACTTCTCTCTCATATTTCTTATTAAATATTATCTAATATTAAATTTATTTTAAATTATGAAATATTTATAAATAAGTATTTATATTTCATAACATTTAATAAAATTTCCCTTCAAAAAAAATTTAATAAAATTTTTCTCTATATATATATATAAGAATAAATTTTATATTTAGTGAAAATTAATTTGTCCTATTTAATTTAAAAAAATTTATATTAATTTATTCAAACAAAATAATAGACAAGTTCAGAACCATTATATGTATGTATTTATTTACATTAAATATTGATTATTAAAAAAATAAATGAATTAAAAATTTATATTGGAAGTTAGAACGGAATTTATAAAAGCTGGAAGATTAAATCCAAATTTTGATAATAGTAGTGGAGTTAAAAACTGAATTAAATTATGTTTTTATCAGTAAATCAAATTACAATGATGGTAATGGTAATCGAATTTAAGTATTTACGCATCAAACTTGGTTATACTACTAAATCAACTATAGTGCTTCAGAATTAAGTCATTTATGTATAATAAAAATTAAAATTTTACCCCAATTGGATATGTAATTTGTTGTAATATATAATTTTAACAATTTAATTGTGATAACAAATACGGAGTAAACAAGTTTCAGAATAATACACATAAATTTTATGTACGGACAATATAAACAATTAATGTTCCAGTTATATTTTAAATAAATAAATGCTTGATTTTCAATTATTTCTCTTTCACTAGAAATCTTTTTGAATTACTGATATATAGAACAATTTTTTTTTTACCGATGTGTACTAGTGAGTTTTGATCGATCAAATATAAGTTATTTTTCTTAGTTAGCTTCTGATTAATCTGTTTCCACTTTTACGTTTTGTTGAAAAAGAGAAGAGATGTAGTCGTATCCAGGACTAAGAAAATCAAGCTCAAAGGAATGGAGCCTGTGCTATCAATAGTGGAAAAAGTGCTTGGATATGTGGTTCGTCCGGTTTATAAGCAGGTGGCCTACATCTTCCAGTACAAGCAATATGTAGATGAACTAAATCATAGTGTTGCGAATCTTAGACGTGAAAAGGATGGGCTGGAACACAAAGTTGTTGATGCTGATAGTAATCTAAAAAAGATTGAAGCTAAGGTCACAGAATGGTTACTGGAAGTAGGTGAATTTGAGTCTAAATTTGAGAATTTTATGAAAGATGAAGGCCACACAAAGTCAAGGTATCCTCACTTATGGAATAGGCATAAACTAAGCAGACGATCAACAAAGATGTCAATGAAGGTTAAGAAGCAAAGAGATGAGGCCCCCGATGTTGATGAAGTTGCCTATACGGAGAACGTAACATCTAATGATGTCACTTACTCTAATGTTGGCTACATGGATTTTGGTTCTAGAAAATCCACAATGAATGACATATTGGCATTACTTCAAGATTCCACGGTCAGAATGATTGGGCTGCATGGGCCAGGTGGTGTGGGTAAGACCACTTTTGTCAAAGAAATTGCTACTATAGCTCGAAACAAGAAGATGTTTAATGAGGTGGTAATAGCAGAAATAACAGCCAATCCCAATTTGCAACAAATCCAGGAAGAAATTGCTTACGTGTTAGGATTGAGATTGGAAGGGGATGGTGAAAATGTGAGAGCTGATTGTATACGAAGGAGGTTAAAGAAAGAGAAAGAGAACACCCTTATAATATTGGATGACCTATGGGACAAATTAGATTTGAACAAGTTAGGGATTCCACTTGATGATGATGATGATTATGATGATGATTTAAGCAAGATGAAAGAGATGAAAAGTGAAAATGAAATGAATCTTAGGAGCAAAGTGATGAAAAAAGAAAGACCTCTTGGTGATTATAACAGGTGCAAAATTTTGCTAACCTCAAGGAATGAAAAAGTATTGTTTGATGAAATGGATGTTAAGTCAACATTTTGCATTAAGGAATTAGATGACAAGGATGCTCTGATGTTGTTGCAGAAGGTGGCTGGAATACCTAATGAAATGTCCAAAGTTAAACAAGAGTTTCTTAAGTATTGTGCGGGGATACCCATGGCAATAATTACTGTTGGCAGGGCATTAAGAGACAAGAGTGACTCAGTGTGGGAAGCTGCACTAGAAAAACTTAAAAAGCAAGAATTGGTGGGAATGGAAAAGGCTATGGAAAATTCTTTAAAGATGAGTTATGACTATCTAGAAAGTGAGGAACTCAAGTCCATTTTCTTACTTTGTGCTCAAATGGGTCATCAACCACTAATTACGGACTTGGTGAAGTATTCCTTTGGTTTGGGTATACTTGAAGGGGTCTACTCGCTTATGGAAGCTCGTGACAGAATTCATACATCAATAAAAAAGCTAAAAGACTCAAGTTTGGTGTTGGGTGGAAGTTCTAGTAATCATTTCAATATACATAATATGGTTCGAGACGCTGCTTTGTCAATAGCACACAAGGAGAAAAATATATTTATTATGAGAAGTGGTAAACTTGATTGGCTTGAACTTGAGAAGTGCACTTCAATTTCTATATGCAACAGTGATATCCTTGATAAACTTCCTAATGTTATAAATTGTCCTCAACTTAATTTTTTTCAAATTAATAATGATGATTCATCTTTGAGAATACCTAACAGTATTTTTAAAAGAATGAAAAAACTCAAAGTGTTAATATTGAGTGGTTTTCATCTGTCAAACTTACAAGATTTAATTAAAGGTCTATCAAATCTCAGAATGCTTTGTTTGGAGCGATGCAATTTAGATGGCAATTTATCAATCATAGGAACGTTGAAAGAATTAAGAATTCTTAGTTTTTCTGGGTCTCAAATTGAAAATTTTTCAACTGAGTTGTGGTGCTTAGATAAGCTACAATCACTAGACACCAGAAATTGTTGCATACAAAGGATGTACCTACCTAATTCTATATCAAGGTTGACTTCTTTGGAAGAGTTGTATGTAAGAAAGTGTTTGATCTACTCTGTTGTGGGAAAAGAGACAAACAGTCCAATTTCATTGCTTTCTATACTAAAAAATTTGCATCAACTGAAAGTGGTGGACTTGAGCCTCCCATGTGCTACAGTTTTTCCCAAGGACTTGTTCTTTGAAAACTTATATGATTACAAGATTGTGATTGGAGACATCGAGGTGCTTTCAGGTGGAGATTTCAGGATGCCTAATAAGTACGAACCATTTAGATCTTTGGCATTGCAACTGAAGGACGATACTAACAATATTCACTCTCAAAATGGGATAAAATTGTTGTTTAAAACAGTTCAAAATTTGTTATTGGGAGAGATAAATGGTGTTAAAAATGTTATTTATGAGTTGAATTTGGATGGATTTCCAGATCTGAAACACTTATCTATCACAAATAATTTTAGCATCAAACATATCTTCGATCCAAAGGATTTGGCTCATCCTCCGGATGTTTTTCCCAATTTGGAATCTTTATGCCTTTACAAATTGTGGAACATAGAGATGATATGTTGCGGTCCAGTTACAGATGTCTCATTTACCAAATTGAAGACCATCAAGATCAATATGTGTGCCCATTTGAAGAATGTCATCTCAATTTACATGGTTAAACTTATTTCTTGTGTAGAAACAATTGATGTTTCTGATTGTGATTCTATAGAGGAGATTGTTGAAATACCGCAAATTCTGATAAGGTTGAGTTTCTTAGGTTGCACTCTCTGACTCTAGAATCCTTATCAGCATCATTTACTAGTTTTAATAGTAGAGAAGAGCAAGACATGGTTCCTCCTCTCTTTGGTAAACTGGTATGCTGTTGCATCCTTTTCTTTTACTTTTAATTAATGTGATTATTTTTTTTATAGATATATTAAATGTGTATGTGCTATTGCAGGTTACAATTTCAAATTTACATAGCTTGAATTTATCCTCGATCAACATCCATAAGATATGGTGTGACCAGTCCCTGTCAAGCTTTTGCTTTCAAAACTTAATAAAACTAGTTGTGAAAGACTGTAATAAGTTGAGATATTTGTGTTCATTGTCTGTGGCTAGCGGTTTGAGCATGCTAAAAATCCTCTATGTAAGTGGGTGTCATGTGATGGAGAAGATTTTTTGCACCGAAGGAAATGGTCCACACAAGGTGTGTATTGGAGTAAATAATTAAATTTTTGTAGCTTAGTAGATGTTATGTGTGTAGTTCTTGGCCATGCTCTTCCTTAGACATTTCTGTTAAGCTCCATTACTTAATGAATTGTTTGCATAAAAGTGCAGGTCTTTGTCTTTCCAAAGTTGGAGGAAATCCACCTCAGCAAAATGGAAATGGTAACAGACATATGGCAGACTGAAATGAGTGTTAATTCCTTTTGTAGTCTCATTTCTGTGCACATTGAAGAATGTGAAAAATTAGAAAAGATTTTTCCGAGTCACATTGAAGGATGGTATGCAAGTTTGAAAAAGTTGAAGGTTGTTAATTGTCAGTTAGTGAAAGTGATTTTTGAAATCAAAGATTCCCAACAAAGAGATGCATCTGGTGGGATAGACACAAATTTGCAAAGTATTTATGTTGCTAACCTCCCAAAGTTGAAGCAAGTGTGGAACACGGATCCAAGAGGAATTCTCAACTTCAGAAAACTGCAGAATATAGATGTATATTCTTGTGATAAATTGAGAAATGTCTTTCCGGCTTCTGTGGCCAAAGATGTTCAAAAGATTGAACGCATGTCAGTAAGATTTTGTGAGAGAATGGTGGAAATTATTGCTTGTAAAGATGGATTAGAAGCAAGCAATGAACCATTAGTGTTCCCTGAATTGATCAGCATGAAATTAGATCGGCTACAAAACATGGAGCGTTTCTATAAGGGGAGACATGGTATAAAGTGTCCAAAAATGAATAAGTTGGCAATGGCGTATTGTGAGAAGCTTGAAACATTTCAAATAGAAAGAAGTGCAAGCACAAATGAAGTAGCAGTTTTCTCAACACCTAAAGAGGTAAGTAAGGAATATTCTAACCGAAAAAAGAATTACTTAATTCACTCTTTGTGGCTTACAACAATTTTATTTAGAACTTAAAACAATATTTGATAAATTTAAGGTTTAAAGTATTTCTTAGAGTATTCTTTTATCTTGACAAAAAAATTATGGAGTAAAAGGTTTAAAGCTCGCCACATTCAATTCTCATTTCGTTGATTTTATTTTATAGTTTTTTTTAGTATTAGTTTTTTTTTTCAACTTTAATGCACACATTTATTTATTTATTTATTTTCAAGATGTTACGAGTTAAGACCAGGGTTTTTAGGGAGAAATATACTCACCATCTATTCATTTTCTTTGCATTCTACTTGTATCTTCTTTTTTTCATCATCTATCATATATTTCTTTTCACTTTTATTTTATTTATTTTTTGTTTTCATTCCAACTTCTCAAACCACACATTTTAGAATGAACGAATAAGAACACTCTTTTATTATTTCATTGTGTTTGATCATTTATCTTTATATTTATGTTTTTTTTTTTCCAAGTACGACATCAATTATATTATTATCTCTCTACCTCTTATCTTAAAATATACAAATCAAGATTATTAACCTTAGAAACTTTAAAACATTATAGGATCTTTCAACTTTATTTTATTTTTCATTTTACTTGTATCATCTTTTTATTGTATATTTCTTTTATTGTTGTTGTTTTTTTTTTAATCTTCTTTCTTCAAGGTAAGTTTCTACCTTTTTCTTCATTCTCATTGCAAACATTTTAAACTTTTCCTAATATTTGTCTTTTGACATTTACATGTTGCTATTATAACTAATATTTTTAATTTTCAGACCTTATATGTCCAAGAAAAGAAATATATTTTAATAAATGAATTAATCATATATATATATATATATATGAGGAGAGATTCACTTACTGTAAGAATAAATTAAATAACTTATATTTTATATTAAATTTTAACTATGAAAGTGTTAAATTTAAATTTTTTAATATATAAATCAAGTTTATAAATTTTTTTAAAAAAAAATTAAAAAATTATTTGATATTTTATTTCATCAATTTAAATTAATAGATAATCATAAAAATATTTTATACGTTGCTTTAAATTAATGAAACGAAATATTAAATATATGTTTTTTAATTTTTTAAAAACTTGCAAGCATAATTTATGCATTAAAACTTTTAATTCAATGGTTGGATTGATAAAATTTGATGTTTAATATGAGTTATTGAGTGAAATAAGTTTAAATAAATTCAACAAGTGAGTGGCAAGAATCTAAAAGGGTCAGAAGGGGTAGAATGGTTTTTCAACTTGCTTGGACTATCTTGTTACTTATCTGTCATTATCTTCAAGAAAACTCATTCAATCCATTTATTACACAATATAATATATTTATGAATTATATTCAATTTATTCATTTAATTTTATGAATGCTTAGTAATTTATCTACTATACTTTTAAAATCTATTGGATTATAATAAAGAAATGTATTGGATTGAGTTTTTTTTTCTTTATTTTTTTATATACTTTTTTGTACATATTTTGATTGAGATTTAAAAGATTATTTTGGTATAAAAATAAAGACTTATGAATTTTAAAAGATTATATAAAAATATAATGACTTATAAATTTTTTAAAAGAATTTTATAATCATAATTTTGTAGTTTAGATTTTAATGGATTTCTATCATAAAAATTTAAAAGATTTAAAAAGACTGTGAATTTATAACATTTAAAAGGACTCCAAAGATTTCAACAAACATTCAAAGTTACAGGTGAATGAAAAATATATAAAATAATAATAATAATAATAATAATAAGATTTGGATTTTAATAAAGAAAAGTAAAAACTTGACACATTTTTAATAACTAATCTTTTAATTTTTCTTTCCAAATGAATATGAAATCTCACTTTCAATAGAAGATAAACTGCCATAAAAGGAGCATGTTGAATTTGCAACGGATATAAATTTTTTGGCCAATATAATAACAAAATATTGTAAAATTTAAAACATTAATTGCATGGATAACACAAAACATTTAGAGATAGAGTTAGAAAAAATAGATAGAAAAAAAAATTTTCAAGATTTTTTTTTATAGATGGATCAAATATCTTACAATAGTAAAATATTAATGAATAAATTAAATAATATTTTAAAATAAATTAAGTAGATTAAATTTTTTAATAAATCTAAATTAATAAATTATTTTTATTCAATTTATTATAATCCAACTAAAAAATGATCTGTTATATCGTATATTACCACTGGTGTCACACAGACATATTTGAAAATCACATGGTGCCCAATGTAGTAAAATTTGCATTAATGCAGTTCAATCTTTTGTGTCTTTTTTGCTTTTTTTTTTTTTTGTTCTTTCCTATTAGTTTTGTGTCTTAACATAATAGAGGTGTTTTTTTTTTTTTTTGGTTCGTCCCTGGAGTATCCACTGCCGATAACAGTGACTAATCTCCTCGCTACGTTGGAGGCACCTTAAAGGGTGGGATAGCTGGCCCCAAGATTTATGAACAAACACAAACAAAAATCAAAATTTGGTTCTTAAACTGTTGCAATCGTAACAACAAAATCCAAACAGAAAAGCCTAATAAAATCAAATAAATGGAAAGATGGGGGATAAGCTTATATATATAAAGTAACCTCCTTCTTCGTAGTATTCACTTTTATTTCATTTTTCTGTAGGTATTTCCCAACTTGGAGTATTTGTATATTGACTTTGACCAACCAGAGAAGTGGTTATTGAGCAACACCAAAATGTACAGAATGCACCGTTTAAAAGAGCTTATTATCTCCGGGAAAGTTAGTTTTGACTCTCTCTACCAGTTTCTGTACAGAATGCCAAATCTAGAAAAGTTGTCGCTTCATGAGTTAATGCCAAGTGCAAACATTGCACCCCAGGAAAGATTAGAAACCGTATTACAGTTGAAGGAATTGGTTTTGTCATCTTCATTTATAGAGGATATAGGACTTGAACGACACCCGTTTCTACGGAGACTTGAACTTTTGAGCTTACAAGAGTGCCACAAATTGAGCATTTTAGCTCCTCCCTCGGTATCATTGACTTACTTGACATATTTGGAAGTAAAGTATTGTGGTGGATTAAGGGATTTAATGACATTCTCAACGGCAAAAAGCTTGGTTCAACTTAAGACCATGAAGGTAATCCATTGTGATGAAATAAAGGAAATAATAAGCAATGAGGGAAATGAAAAAGAAAACATCGAAATTGTATTTAGCAATTTGATTACTATAGAACTTGTGACTCTAAAACGGCTCACAAGTTTTTGCAGCAACAAGAATTGTATATTCAAATTCCCTTTATTGGAAATATTGATTGTGAGAGAATGCTCCAAGATGGAAACATTCTCGGAGAATCTGGCAAGTGCGCCAAAGTTGCAAAATAATATACTTGCTGTTGAAGGCGAAGAAGAAGCGAAATGGCAGTGGGAACGCGACTTGAATGGCACCATACAAAAAGTTTTCAAAGATAAGGTACTTACATTTATCATTCAAGTTGTTTGAAAAACTTCACTCATAAAATTTAACATATAATACAAGAATTTAATTGTTTCATGTAGCCCGTCTTGTCCTAAAGAGAACTTCCCATCACCTTAAAACTTTTCTTTTTAATCAAAATAATATAAATTTCTATTTATTTAGCTTGAATCCAATTCTAAACATTATTCTAAAGATGATTTGATTTATAAATGATTTACTTGGGTTGAATATATGAGTCTTAATAAACATATGTTCTCATCTTTAATATCCACTGTGGAATAATAATTTATATTATATTTTTTATCTGATTTTACAGGTTTCTTTCAGATACTCGGAGCATTTGAATAATTCCAGGTATCCTGAATTTATAGAGCAACTATGGCATTGCAATCATTTGGTGTTACAAAACAACTTTCGCAATCTGAAAAGTTTGGAAATAGGATGTGATAGTCTAGAGCATGTAATTCCATCTCATTTACTTCCTTGCTTTGAGAATTTTGAAGAAATATGGGTATGGAATTGTAGTGAAGCACGGGTCATATTTAATATAAGTGATGAGAAAAAAACTTTGGGAATAATCCGTTTGAAAAGATTGAGTTTATATTATCTACCAAAACTAGAGCATGTATGGGACAAGGATCCTGAGGGAATTATTGACCTTCAAGTACTACGGGTTATGTCGGTTACAGGTTGTGATAGTCTGAAAAGTTTATTTCCAGCAGGGGTGGCTAAAAAAGATGTTACCTGCAGACTTGAAGAGCTTGAGGTAACAGAGTGTAGGGAGTTGGTAGAAATATTTTCAAAGGCTGCAGAAGCAGAAGGAGCAACAAAAATGTGTGTGTTTAGTTCTCTCACCTCATTGACTCTAACGGAATTGCCAAAGCTCAAATACTTCTTTCCCGGATCGCACACGCTTGAATGTGAAGAAGATGATGCAGAGGAGCAAGTCCTTATTGAAATTGAAAAGGTAATTCTTATAAGTTAATTCACTTGTACTTATTGTATGTAGAGGAGCAAGTCTGGTTGGATGATTTTCAAATAAGAAGAAAAGTTGTGTAATTTCATCTAACTTTAACCAAATTAGTTTCTTTAAATCCCGGGTCGATCAGGATAGATGCGTGTGTGACAGCCGACAAGTCTAAAAACTACTAGAAGAAAATTAGGAGAAAAAGAAATATACAAGTTACTACCGATGGAAGAGTTTTGGTATATTCTCATGTGTGAACTAATAAAAGTTGAGACAAAAGACAAAATAATTGGAAACCTAAAGTATAAGTAAATAAAACAAATACTAATGATAATTACAGAAAAAATTTGAAAATATGAATAAAAAGTTGGAACTAACAATGGAAAAAATTGATAAAAATATAATTTTAATATTAGAAATTGTAAATAAAATTGAAGATTTTACCTGTAATAAAATAAATAATGATCAGGAAGAAACTCATTCCTCTTAAATACAAATGCTGGAATTAGAAAAAAAAAATCTAAAAAAAGCCAATTCAACTACAAAATAAATAATTTAGATTATACTTATACAAGAAAAAGTAGGGAAAATTATAAAGATTAAAATTAAAATATTACAATAATGTTATAAAAACAATAAAACAAAGAAAATTATTAATCAAATAGCAAAAGTAAAAACTAATTTACACTACAGAAATTCAAAAGTTTAAGGCAAAAAGACAAAAATATGCTAAATATTTATTAGAACTAAGTTATTTAAGTGTATATTGAATACTATTACAAAGAAAAGTAGAGCATATAGAATGAAAATTGAACCACTAAATAATTTAGAAAAAAATGGAAGGATAAAACATCCAAAGAAAATATAAAAACAATTAAAAAATATATATATAAAAATATTATATGAATAAATGATTAAAAATAATGAATTTAAGATAAAATTAATAATCTGATCCAATTGTATCAGTCCTCTTCAATTAAGAAGGATACTGTAGAATTTTTCATATTTTTATTAGAACTATTTAAACAAGTAAAATAGAGAAGAAAAAAAATAAGATAAAAATAAACCAAAATAATATAAATAGGAGAGTAAAAATTTATATAATATAATAAAAATAGATCATGTGTATGCTTATGGATTAGCAAGAGTAAAAAAGCTTTATTTGTAGAAAAATAAGTTTATTTTGTTTGCGTACGTAATATGGTTATTTGTTTTTCTTGGTGTATAGGTTATCCAAATCCCCAGCTTGAAGAAAGTGTCATTCAGTATTGGAGACATCAAGGTTACATGGGATCGAGAGTCTGCAGGAGGGCAATTGCAGTTTGATCAACTAGAAGACTTTGAAGAATTCTTAGACGCTGCTCCTCTATACAGATTCCTTCACAGGGTTCCCAGTATCCAAAAGCTTGCATTTAACCGGTGTAGGTTTAAAGAGATGTTCTCCGCTGAAAGACCGAATGCTGATTACACTCCAATCCTTTTGCACCTCAAAGGATTAGAGTTAAGTTATATGAATCAGCTTAAGTCCATTGGTTTAGAGCACTCTTGGCTACAACCCTTTCTTGAAAATCTCCAAACGTTACAAGTAAAACGTTGCCATAGTTTGCCAAACTTGGTACCATCATCAGCATGCACAGTATCTTTCACCAATCTGACATATTTGGAAGTAAGTAGTTGCAAAGGACTTATCTATTTGTTTACATCCTCGACAACCAAAAGTTTGGGTCGACTCAAAAGACTGAAGATAAAAAGGTGTGAATCAGTGATGGAGATAGTGTCCAGAGAGGGAGATGAACCAGATGAGGATGAACAAATAATATTTGAGCAGCTCCAGGTTTTGTATCTTCAAGAATTACGTCAGTTGAGATGGTTTTACCCTGGGAATTATACTTTACGTTTTCCATGCCTAGAGCAAGTGCACGTAATCGATTGCAGGTGGATGAAAACTTTCAGTCCAATCAACATAATAGATCATTCAACAAAGTGGTTTTCTGCAGAATATCAATATGAGAAACCTCATCAGTGTTCTGATCTTAATTCTACTGCACACAGGATATTTGAGGAAAAGGTACGGATCCCATCATTAACTTATATACACTTTGAGGGTTGCTATATCTCTGAATTCGGACCAAAAGCATGGTCCAAATTTTTAAAATATTAATATTTTATAATAAATTTATTATTAAATAATTATTTAATTTAATATTTTATAATTTAAATTAATTTTATAAACTTTCGGAATATATTTCGCACAATTCAGTCTGAGGATGAAGAATTTTTCATACACTTTTTGTTATTCATGAAAATATATTCTTACAATTTTTAAAAACTAATTAATCTCTCGGGTTGGAATCTCCAAAGAATTACCAAATTACTTCCGTGGATCAGTGCCTTTTTTAAAAATAAATATTAATTAGAAGATTTTAAAAACATGATTGTCTGCCATTACCTTTTTTACACCATTGTTTGCACATACTACAAATATCCTCTTTCTACTCACCCTCTCATTTAATGGATGTTTAAAATATATTTATTTATAAATTTAAATTTTATTGAGAAAAGCATAATTAATTGCTTAAGTACTAAAAATATAATAAGAATTTAGGTATATTCAAGTAGGGTATGAGAATTTATATATATATATATATATATATATATTATTATATGAGTAATTTATATTTAAAAAGGATTTAACTTATATTAAATTTAAATATTTTTGTAATTTTGAAATCTGTAATAACAAATGAATTCAATTATTTTACAACTATATTGTAAATAAAAATTTATTAATTGTATAATCTTATAATAAAAATATTTTGAATAATTTAACATGTAAAAATTCATTAAATTAGATGCAAATTATTAAAATTCAAATTAATTAAAATTATTTATTTTTATCGACTAATAAACATTTTATATACATTTGGATTAAGATTTGAACTCAATTGTCCTTATTGTAATTAGAATTAACAATGAGTTGGGAGTGGTAGTAATCATTCGTCACCTATCATATTTAATCTGGGTATATATTTAACAAGTATTGATAAATTTTATATATTTGTGAATATCTACGTGTATTCATACATATTTGTTAAAATGTAAGATTTTAAATTAAAAAATAAGATAAAACTTAAAATAACCACCTTTAAAACATATATTTATATTAAAAAATATTTTGGCAACATATATTTTTAATAAAATAAATAATTATGTCATATATAATTATATTAAAAATAAATTAAATGAAACTATTTTCTACGTGATTAAAACTATTTTAATATTTTTAAAGTACAGGTAATTGCGAGTACCAATATTGTACTGCCCATCATTTTAAGCGGTGGGGATAAATAAATACACATTTTGTCCCGTATATTATACATAATAAGTTTATATTTTGATATAATGAAAAAATAAATAATTTTTTAATGCACAACTTATTTTTAACTATTTGTAATTTAAAAAAATATTTAAATTTAGTGATAAAAATAAATGTTGATACATTGAAAGATATATACAATTAAAATATTCAAAGTTGCATATAAAAATAAAAGAAATGTAGTTTAATAACTAATTGATATTTTTGACTAATTATGGAGATAGTGTATAAAAAACAACTATAAAAAATGATAAAAATAAGTATTTGAAGTTTCTAATTGAAATAGAGAAGAGAATGAGACTAATTAAATTTGTGAGGTAATATTCATATTATAAATTTGGAGACAATATTCATATTATAAATTTGGAGGCACCTATTTGATTGAAATATATAAATTGTCCCTAATTCTCAAGCACCTTTTAGCATGAAAAGTTGGTTATTAATTCATATTTTTCTTTAACTGTCCTAGTTTTGTTTGGTTATTGGTTTTCTCTTGGTAGCTTTGCAACTTAGAACATCTGGAACTAGTTGGAGACGAATGGAAGATGATTTGGCATGAAGTATTTCAGGGAAACCTTTTCTTACACAAGTTAAAAGGTATAAGTTTTGTGCGCTGTGAGACAGATGTATTTCCACGTAAGTTTCTACAGCATGTTCCCAATATTGAGAGGCTTGAGGTGACAGATTCCCAATATGAGGATGATACTGGGTTAGAGAACTCTTGGATTCAGCCCATCCTCCGAAATCTAACAGTTTTGAGAATATACCGTTGCAATAGTCTACGGTATTTGTTCACATTTTCAACGGCCAAAAGTTTGGCTCGACTCAAAATAATGGAGATAGAAGAATGTGATTCAATTGAAGAGATAGTAATATGTAATAAGGAGAGAGATGAATCAAATGAGGATGAGATAATATTTTCACAACTCAACTCAACTTTTTCTGCAGGTATAGTAAAAACAGACAAATTGTCTCAATTTCAAATTGGCTGCATTGAAAAATGATCTCAACCCTACAATGAGGCATTTTTGGCAAAGGTATGTGTTCAATTTTTTTATTCAACATAATTATTACTGCGATTGATACAAATTCCTAGAAATCTCTTGATAAAGTGCAACAAAGGCTTATAATATCCTTAAAAAAAAAAAAAAAACTGTCTCTTGAGTATACTTGTGGTAAATCTAGAATGAATGTTTCAAACCGATTAATTGAAAACAGCTATCAGGCAGTAGCGAAGGGCTATATATAGTTCTTCACTTTCATAAAAAACAAAAAATCAAATTAAATTTAAGTGACGATGACATTTGTATTCTTGTCGTTATTAATCAGGCCTCATTCGAATTAAAAGATTATGTAGTATGTGAAAGAGAAAGTAAGAGAGAATGACTTCTTGTATATTCATCATTATCAAATACACAGATGGAAGGGTTATATATACAAGAGTTTAGACTCTCAATAGAACAACTAATCCTAACAAAAGCTAATTAACAATAACTAATCCTAACAAAAGCTAATTAACAGAAATATTGAAATAGAATAACAGATAACAAAACAACAAAATACTAAACTACTAACTACTTTATTCCTATATTTCTTTTCTCTATTTTCTCCAATACCCCCCTCAAGCTAAAGAGTATATATTTAGAACTCTCAGCTTGGATAAAAGGTAGTTAAAAGGAGTGAGTTCACACTACAAAAAAAATGACATTTAGTGACCACCAAAATGGTTGTAATGTTGTTAGTATAAGTAGTACAAATTAATTCATTTAAGTCATCCTCAACTATACAATCTCAACTTATGCTATCTTTAGACCCTTCTCATTTCGGTGTGTTCGGACCGTTGTAATATATAATAATATATATAATAATTAAATTACTAATAATAATAATTATATTATATTTAATTAATCTTTATTTATATATATACTTATTTTTATAATTAATAATCTGCTCATTTCTATTTAAAATTAATATTATTATACAATTTAAATTATTTATTATAAATTTAAAAGTTTAAATAATTATTTTTTATATTTTAAAATGAGAAGGGTTATAATAACACTGGTATAACTTTTACTAAGTATTACACTGTTCAATAACTTTATATTAAATGTGAATTTTGTAAATTTAACCGTTAGATTGAAAGTTCATATAACTTTATATGTTTATATCAAGTTCTGTTAAAATTGAACAACTTGAAGGTAATCAAAGTGCTCATATTTTAGTATATTTTGAAATGTATATATTACGTCAATTTTATTTTACAAGAATGAAGTATCAAATCATCTTGAATTCATATAAAATTTTGTATATATGATCTAAAAGTAAAAAACTTTCAATTTAATGGTTGAATTTATAAAATTCACATTTAATATAAAGTTATTGAGCGATGTAATACTTAGTAAAAGTTACACCGGTGTTATTATAACTGTTCTTTTTTAAAATATTATTTTTATAAATTAAATTTTAACATTTTAAATAAATTATTAATTAATATATTTATTCATCTTAAATCTAAGATATAAAATTCAAAAAATGTATTTATCCTTGTTTTATTTTCTGATTATCAACCATTAATAAAATACTAATTTAAAATTTATCAAATTATATCATAATATTTTTATATCAAGTTTAAAACCAGATATTAGTTATAAAATATGTTAATTTTTGTTGGGATTTTATTTCAACACGAAACTTTAAAATAAATGTGCGAATAAAAAAAATTCCGTTAAAACGGTCACGTATTATGTTTGATAGAGAAAAAAGCATGGAAAACGCATTGTGATGTATTAAAAACTGATCAAAAAGAACAAGCGGGTGGTTTGCCCAATTAGTTAAGGGGAAGACTTAAGATTTTTTCCACGTAAGTATGTGTATGGATTCGAGCTCTACTGTTAGCAATTTTAGCCTTTTTAAACAAAGGAGCTGTATATATCATAAGTTAAATACTATGAACATCTTTGAGTAAATTAAAATCAAAAGATAATAATTTTTTTAAATTACTAAAAAATATTTCATTTTATAATTGTTTCACAAATTCTTACTAATTTATGTATAAGTCAATTGCTTTTAAACAATGAAACTAACACGATTATATCAATTGAATTGAATGGTTAAGTCTAACTTTTAAAATAACAATTGAAATAAAATATGATTCATGAAAATAATTTCAAAATATATTAGGTAAATAATTTTTATATATAATAAAATTAAAGACAAGGATTAAAATAATCAATGGAGTTAATGTAATATTCATTTATAAATATTTAAATAAAATATAAGTAGCAAGGTATTATTTAATTGATGTTTAAAATAAAATATTTTATAATATCTAAATGAATTGATTTTTAAGATAAACTATTATATACATATTTAATTAATATAATTTTAAAATATATATGTATAATTAGATATATTTTAAATAAATATATTTATATTAAAAATTAATTTATCATTAAACAAAATAAAAATATTTCAAAATATGGTTGTTGTTGAATCAGTTTCCCATGGTGGGATCATATTCATATATAATAATAGAATCATGTCTCCTCAAATAAATAATATTTACCTCAAAGTAATATGAGCATAATTAAAAATAGATGGTATAACGTATTTTAAGTAATTGATTTCATGTATTATTGGTGAGGGGCGTGGTGAAAACCTCACTCTGAGTGTAAGTTATATGTTAGGTACCAGGATTGGTCCCTAATCTTGTTGGTTGTGTTGTATGTGTGAGGGATTAAACACAAAATATTATTTGTAATTTCAATGTGTATTGTTGTTTCTTAATTTCTATATATATGTGTAATTGTGTTGTTGATTTCTAACTTGCCCTTGTTTATGAATATATTAGTGCTCATGAGTTCTCTGGAAAACCATAAGATTTAGAATTGAAGAATAATTACTGGAGAAACAATTTTGAATAGGAACCCTCTTAATAAGAACACATTAATTAGGCCATATCATACGCAATTGCCACTCTTTTATGATGTTTGTAGTTGTACTTGATGTGATTGATAAATGTTCCTTACTAAGGAATGATAGACTGATGTGTGCCAAGGTACAATAACACAATGTATGATTAACCAAATGTAAAATTGTTAATGACTGCGAGTACAATATGTATGTCAATCATTGCACGAATGTGTTTTAAAATGGTGTGGACTGATTATGATTCTATTTGGTAGCTATATAATATTGCATGAGATTACAAAAAATGAGGGCATCGTCTTTAATTAATTGTGAGTTCTTGCATATATAGAAGAAAAAAAATGCCATGGTGCCCATTGAATAATTTGTTTGTACTATTGTAAATTGAATAAGTTTTGTGATGTGCCTAAGTAAACTAAATACATTGGATGTGACTAATGAACTTGTAATATTTTTGAATTCTCTCTATGACGAGCAGGCCATGCATAGGGATGTGCACGTCAAGCATGAGAATCATAGAATGCTCAGTGTTGTTGATGTCGGGCGTGAGCTTGGTCACCTCGAGTGTGGCAACTCTAGAGACCCCTTGTGTGAAATTTATCAAGATCGAGAAGAGTCACATCGAGTGTGCTCCTTCTAGGAGCTTGCAGCTTTAATCGCAACAGACGCATAACACCCCCATGCAGGGCATCATCATATGCCTACAACTAGTACGTGTATAATTGTGTAACTAATGAAATTAGTCTTGATAGATACATTATACGAATTATTTGGTTGTGAAAACTGTGTCATGTGTGTAGTATGGAAAAGTGAGAAAGTATGTGATGAGAACGTGAATACTTGATGTTTGGGATATGATAAGTGATTATGTGATAAACTTAAGTACATCTTAGTAATGTAAAAGTTTGGGTGAATGTCCTAGTAGTAGTGTGACTTGTGTAATATGAAATAGTGAAAATATAAATTATGAATGTAAATATTATGGCTATGCATAGAGTTTGTATGACATACAACATGTGCATTATGTGTTTTTATGATGGATATGAAATATGTTGTCAGGGAAGGTCCTCCTTATGTAAAAGTTTGGGGATTCATTGAAACACTATGGTTTTGATCTATGCATGTTATGATATTTATGATCATATTGTTATGTATGTGGTTTTACATGCATGTTATAGATTATTTAGTTGTAGACAAGAGTCTGGTGAGGTTGTAGTTTTGATTATTTATTGTGTAATGATTTTTATTGTTAGTGGTGATAGAAAGTGTTTTGAGGGTATTTTTTTCTTTTAGCTATTTTAGAGCTTTAGGGGTTAGAATATCCTTAAGAGTTAAGTTATTTGAAATTATAAAAGTTAAGGTTCAATTTGGTCAAAAATAGGAAAAGGCTATCTAAGGAAGTCTAGAGGAGAGAAATTTCATAAGTTAAGAAATATCAATTTTTAGAGAGAGAAAGTAGAGAGAGAGTCTATATTTTTGGTAGTTGATCGTTGATTTGAATCCGTAGATAGATTCATCTTGATTTCTTGAGGAATACTTGTGAAGGAAGTTTGTCAAATTTAGAGATTAAGAGCTTCGAAATCTAGGGAGAAGATTACCTTGAAGTTTTGTGATTTTGCTCTATTTTTTGAGAAATTCCATTTTAAGGTGTTTAAGGTAACAAAAGTTCTTGTAATTAGATTATCTTGTGTTGTTGGTGTTGTCTTGCTCATTGGTGGCAAATTATGTTGAGATTTTGAGTTTATTGGAGTTTTTGAGGTATTTGGGGTTTTTAGGAAAAAATCTTGATTTTGTACCCAAATTCTTGTTATGAATTATTTTTGATGTTGGAATTGATAAATTCATGTTTTTTAGATGAGTTTTGATGGTTTGGATTCAAGTATTGGAGCTTATAGGTAAGTTGGGATGGGTTAGAAAGGATTAGAAACCCAAAAATCAAGAAAAACCAATGATGGTCTCTATCATGAAACGTCTGAGCGATTTATAAATGACTGAGCAGATTTGGGGACTCAAATCAGGGGTGGCCTTGGAGGCAGAGGGCTTAGGGGTGCCCTCTACACAAAAAAAAAAAACTTACAATGAGCATCACTACCTTCTAAATAAATTTTTCCAACTTCCTTGATGATTTGGAATTAGGTGGCCGGAAAGTTTCCAAACGCAAGTTAGAGTTTGAACGGATCTCTTTCAGACACACCACTAGTATATTTTCTCCTAGTGTAGAGTGTTGTGATGGTTTTACTTGACATGAACTCTTAGGCTACATAACCTTCGGGCAAAGATAAAGTGGTTTTACTAGCAAATGACATGTATGCTTTATATTATGCTTTGTTCTTTTAAGATATTTTTGTTTTAGTCAATATTCTTAGTAATTGCTTCTAATTTTTAGTCTTTTATTTTGGAAATTTGTAATGTGATACCTTTACCTTTAGTTTCTGATTAGTTAATGAAATATTTTTCATATTACTATCTTTTTTTTTATATACTATTGAATTAATGAATGAAGAGTAGAGAGTCTCACACTTAGTCATTGTTAAAGTTAATTTTCATATAACTATTTATGTTTTATGGTGGAAGTTGTGTAAATAAGCGATTTCCTTGTTTTGAATTAATGCAATTATTTGATTTCTTTTTTATTTAAAGAGTTTTATTTCACGAATTGTGAACCTTTTTACTATAAAATGATAATGATTAAACAATATATATATACCTTTTATTGCATTTTTCTTTAATTAAATTCAAGGTAAAAGAATGTCACAAAAGACACTTTGTACTTTTTCAAAAAAAAGTAAAATATATAATAAATGTAATTGAAGTTAAATATACATGAATAATTTTGAGTAGCTTATTTACGGGATAAAGAAGATTGTTCTCACTCTATATATACTAGTATAAAAAGGACGCTTTGTGCCCATGTGTATTTTGTTTTTAAAAAAATTAATAAAAATACTTAAAGTTAAATATGCATGAGTGATTTTGAATAATTATTTACATGTGTTTAAAAATTTTATAGAGAAGTAGATATAAAGATAATAAAAATTAAATAAAAAAAATATGAGAGATAAAATGTTTTGGTCATTTGGAAGTTAAAAGGCAAAACGGCAATAGAATGTATACAATAAAAAGGTATATCACCTTAATTAAGACTAGTGGGATCCACACACTTAGTTTTTCTATGTATTTTATTTAAAAATAATATATATATATATATATATATATATAATATAAAAATAGATAAAAGGAATACATGGATTTGGTTTCTACTTTTATTCAGTCCTTTTTATCCTTTAATTGTTGACATAATCACTTAAAAATTAGGACAAAATTGTAAATCTGTTATTTCATTAAACTTATATATATATATATATATATTATGAGAGATCTGTCTACTCTAAGAGTAAGTCTATTAAGACTTGCTCTATTTCATAATATTCATGCTCTACATCAAATTTTAACGATCAAATCATTGAATTTAAAGTTCTTAATATACAGATCAAATCTACAAATTTTTAAAAAATTAAAAATCATTTGATACTTCGTTTCATTAATTCAAATTAATGTGTAAAATGATTTTATAATTATCTGTCAATTTGAATTAATGAAATGAATTATCAAATGATTTTTAATTTTTTTAAAAATTTGTAGATTTGATCAATGTATTAAGAACTTTAAATTCAATAGTTGAATCGTTAAAATTTGATGTAGAACATAAATTATTGAACAAAGTAAGTTTATGTAGACTCTTAAAGTAAACAGATCCCTTATATATATATATATAGAGAGAGAGAGGTTACACAATGTAAATCATGTGAGATAATATAAATCTAGTATTTTAGTGTGTGCAATGGACAAGTAAAAAATTATTATATATAACTAATATTTATAATAAATTATACATACAAATAAATATTATGTTTGCAAATAGATATTTTTGAGCATATAAATTATATTTTGAATTTTATGATAAGTAGATTTGACAAAAATATTGAAAAACATACAATTTCTTATTTTATTAAAAGATATTTTTAAAGAAAATTCAAATAAATGGATACCTAATAAACAACTAATTAACATGTACATTAAATACTAGTTTCATTTAAAATAATATTAAAATTAAAATTAAAAATTTGAAAATTACACACACACATATATATATATATAGAATGTTTAAATGATACCGATGGAACTTTTATTAACTAAATATTATCTTATTCAAAATTCTAAATTAAATCTGAATTTTATCAATCTAACCGTTGAATTATAACTTTTACCACCTTGTCTATTTATATCAAATTTTTTTAAAATTGAACAATAATTTAAAGGTAATAAAAATATTCATATTTTAGTATATTTTAAAATATATAAATCATATTTAAAATCTGTATAAATGATAATTTTAAACATATAAACTATATTTTAAATTTATGATAAATAATATATATTATAGCACAAAATTATTTTTATTTATTAATAATTTATTTTAAAATATTAAATTTAATTCATAAATAATTATGATAAATAAAAATTAAATTAAATAAGAAGTTAAAAAATTCAAAAAAATATTTACATTTAATATATAATTGTTAATTTCACACAAGATAAAAATTTGTGTTTAATATATGAATTGATTATTTGAATATGTAGTTATATTTAAAAAAGTTGGAGTGTTGGGTAATATTGAAGCGTTTGATCGTTGCTAAAATCGGTCGCTATTTGCCTTAGCGACCAAATTTAAGTAGTCGCAAAAACCCTAGTCGCAAAGCTATATAACGACCAAAAAATTTTCGGTCGCTATTTAGCGACCGAAAATTTTGGTCACTATTTAGCGACCGAAAATTTTGGTCGCAAAATGGTTGCAATGATTTTGGTCGTTGATGTGTATGGGGACCAAATTAGTGACCGAATAAATCGGTCACTAAATCGGTCGCTAAAGATTTATTTTTTATTTTATTAAATTTTATAGACGTTGCAAATTTGGTCGCTACGAAATACTCATATTTGGCCTCTCAAGGATTCTATTTCACACTACTTCACTTTTCAGCATGTTTTGTCCTTAATTACACAATTTTTTGGAAACTTCCCAGAAGGTCACCCATCCCTATATTACTCCAAGTCAAGGACGCTTAACTGTGGAGTTCTTATGAGATAAGCTACAGAAAGGCATATGCATATTGTCAGTATAGGTAGTACAAATTAATTCATTTAAGTCATCCTCAAATATACAATCTCATACTTATACTATCTTTGGATCCCTCTCATTTCGGTGTATCCGAACCGTTATAAAAATATAATAATATATTTAATAATTATATTACCAATAATAATTATTATATTATATTTAATTAATCTTTATTTATATATACTTACTTTTATAATTAACAATCTACTTATTTCTATTTAAAATTAATACTATGATACAATTTAAATTATCTATTATAAATTTAAAAATTTAAATAATAATTTTTAATTTTAAAATGAGAAGGATTATAATAACACTGGTATAAATTTTACTAAGTATTACATTGTTCAATAACTTTATGTACTATCCATATTGAAGAACCGAGCTC